CAGCCTCCAATAGACGGTCAACAGTACTAGTTGTGTCTCTAAAACAACCATGTACCCACTGAATGCTCTAAGGTTAAATTTACAAGTATAAAGAAAACCAAAATATTTACATGTAAATAACATCATAAAATATTGGATGATATATATATATATATGTCAATGCTTCATGAATCAATAATGACTTAAAGAATACACATTTCGAAAATATAATGTGAGGTGCTTGAATTGTACAACCACCTTTTTTCACAATTGTCCATACTCATTTTAACATTCAAATAAAAAAAAGCAAACTTAAAACCTAATTGTTGCGTTGCCAGGCTGAACGCACCAATAAGTGGGATCAGCAGGTCACGGGAAACACTTTGATACTCATTTGTAATAATAACATGATACATACAAATTCCAAAAAAACATTTCAAGCAAAAATACAACCCAAAACTTTGATACAACCATAGTTTGGTAGTCTGGTCTCCTTAACCAGACTACAACAAATACCAAATAGTAATCTGTTCCCATGGTTACAGTATGTTTATAGCTGACTAGTCCCTGCCTGATAATTACACCAATAGGAGGACTAGGGCTATTATATGAAGCCCTCTTTGCAGTGCACATTGAACACTGCACTCATTGTAAAGTGACCATAGTGTATATGTGCTACTGACATACTCTGCAGTCTAGTCAGACAGCCCTCTAAGGGGGTATGTAAAGTTAAGGGAAGAGCCAATCTGACATATGGGGTCTGGAAAGGGGAATGGGTTGCATTATTTCACACAGCTATTTTGTGACAGTTTTTGGCACATAGAGAGACCTGGGGGGGGGGGGGGGGGGGGGGGGGGACATTTAGCAAGAAAAGTTAAGCTGTACTGTATCACGCTCCTTAAGCTTGCATGTACAATAAAGGTAAAAAAATCCTAAAAATAGCAAAATGTTTCAAGTAATCTTGACTTTAAAATGCCAAATCCTTTTCTGAAGATAATTTGAAAATTTAACAATTATGTATGTAAAAACTAGATAAGATCATCCAGATCAAGATCAAACAATGGTAGCCGAACTTACAACTTACAAGGATTGAGTATATAGGTCACACACCATACATCTAACATCAAAGTCCTACCAGCTGTCTCCCCACACTGCTGGCTCGGATACTTTTTCCACAATTAAAAAGGTAATGTCTTTGATATAAAATGTTTAAAATGGGTTTACATGATTAAGATTCAATGAAATGAATGTTTACCATAGAACAGCTCTGCAGATACAAGCTATATGTACACATCTACTATACTGCACCTCCAATGCTATTTACACATACAGTTTTATACATACACCATACAGCCAGGACAAAAGAATGTCTACAAACAGGCAAAACACAAAAAACCAAGGGATGCCCAAACACCTGACACTCAACCCTGCAATCCAGGGCATGTCCAACAGTGGGAGTGTGGTTAGGTCCACGGGGAGTGTGGTTAGGTCCACGGGGAGTGTGGTTAGGTCCACGGGGAGTGTGGTAATTAGTTGGTATTGGTACAGCTAGACTCGGCTGAAATTTGAATAGTTTGTACTGGCCATGTGGTGTTGTAGATTCTGTACAAATATACAAACTTATTACAATGTTTAGATAAAATACTGTACATATGGAGGCCCCACCACCCTCCACTTGTCTCTCAGATTCACGAGCTCAATGCACTATGTAGAGAGCATCAGTAGGGTGGCAGGCGTATTAAGTATAATATAAAATATTTTATTGTATACAAATTGTAAAACTTTACATGTAAAATTAATAAATTATCTGGAAAAACAAAATGCTTTTCATACACAAAATGTTTACAAAACAAAAATATGCACATTTTACAACTTTTTGAAAACACATTTTCAAATATACATAGTATTGAATTTAAAACCTAGAAAAAATGATAATAAAATGTTACACTTGTTTCTGGGTAAAAGACCATACTTAGTCTTGTAAACAATGACTGGCCACCAACGTTACTCATTTAATAACTAAAGAAAATGTCAACATGCTCAAAATCGTCATGAAATTAAACTTCAGTGCGAGTGCAGCCAGGAATGAATTGGTCCTACAATGCATACCTTGCTATCAGACCTATTTCAGAAATAGTGTTATTTATTCAGCTTTCATGTGTTTCAATTATTTCATAAAAATATGCCATTTCGCACCATTTTAATATTCTGATGTCTTAACATTGTATTTCAGGTCGTACAAGGAGGTCATTCTTACACATTTTACAAACGTCATACTATTTGTTTTATACAAGTTTGTATTACACATAATAACATTTTATCACATATCATATGAATAATGTACATTACATGGCATATGATCATGTGACTTTTGTCTTACAAGTGATCATGACTATTGTCATACATGTGATCATGACTTTTGTCTTACATGTGATAATATGATTTTTGTCTTACGTGTGATCATATGACTTTTGTCTTACCTCTTAATATCTCATAATACATGGGTTAGCTTGTAACACTAAATGCTAAAAAAATCCTCTTGTTGAGTGAAACAATGTTTTTTTATCTGTTTTGAAGTATTTCATATATTATATGGTACATTTTTGTTTTTACTGTCCCAGTTGTGTTTAGCTCGCTAGCACTTGTTTACTACAGGGATGTAATACAAAGAACTGGTCCTATATATATAATATGCCATAAGTTGATTTGACTGGTCCGATATATATAATATGCCATAAGTTGATTTGGTTCATCTCCTACACTTAAACAAAAATAATTTTCCAATGTCATATATATGAAAAGTTTCCCATTTTCCAGACATGTGTGGCTCTCAAGTTCATTATATCACGGCTGTGACAAATGCAAGTGTGCCCAACTTTACACCAACATCCTAGCTGTGATCTAGAGGCCTAAAATATTCCTGTTGATTGTTTGCCAAACCCCAGGCCACCACGTGCACCCCAACCCAAAAAAAGACCTGCGTTCAAAATATCAAAATACTTTATGAAAATTGTTCAATTGAATCTTTCTCTTTTTATTTTGGGAATCAAATTAATTGTTCACTTATTTAGTTTCAACACCAGTAATAAAAACTGGAAATTTACGTCCGAAGTTATCAATATTTAAGTAGACAACAAAATACCAGAAAAAGTACCATAAATTTGTAAAACAATACCCCTACCTACCATGACCCCCAACCTACTATGTACCCCCCATATACCCCCCTATACCTACCATGTACCACCACCCTAAACCTACCATGTATACCCCTACACCTACCATTTACCCCCCTATACCTACCATGGACCCCCTTTACACCTACCATGTACCCCCTATACCTACCATGTACCCCATACCTACCATGTACCCCCACCTATACCTAGACCATGTAGCCCTTATACCTACCATGTACCCCCCTACACCTACCATGTACCCCATACCTACCATGTACTCCCACCTATACCCAGTCTGCGACGTTAGGAACTAGTCCGATGCCCACGACTAGTAAATTTAAGTCAGGAATAGTATTGAAAATATTTAACTAGTCCGACTGGACTAGTGGCAATTTTCCTCCAAAATAATGGAAATATTATTAATGGTATATATTTTGCACTATAAAGCTTGTCACAAGTTCTAATCCTATCGTAAAATACGGTATTCGTCGAAGCTTCAAAGTTTTGATGAGCGATTGCGAGACTGGGTTCCGGATTTTAGTCGTTACCGAACATTACTTCCGGTTTATAACCATGTGAAACCAACCATGGCGTTGTTGCTAAGTTGGAGGAAAGGTTCAAAACCAGCTAAGCCTAAAACCAGCTAAGCCTGTCTGTGAACAGACAGAAAAAATTGCTCCAACACGAAAGAAAAATTTACGGTTCTGGCTAGTGTTAATAAAGGCTCGATGGAAACAACTGTAATACTGTATTAGAGATAATTGGCGATCACGTTCCTTGCTCCGTTTCTTTAGTTAATTATTGAGTCATTTTGTTTTGATTTCTAATTATTTTCCAATTTAGATCACAATTTACACTTCATGCTGTAAAAAAAGACCAGTCTGTAATTTGGACTAGCAAATTCACAGTTGGACTATTAAAATTATGGGTTCACTAGTCCAAATGACTAGTAAGGAAAATAGTTAACGTCACAGACTGTATACCTAGACCATGTAGCCCTTATACCTACCATGTACCCCCCTATACCTACCATGTATACCCCTACACCTACCATGTACCCTACCTATACCTACCATGTACCCCCTACACCTACCATGTACCCCATACCTACCATGTACCCTACCGATACCTACCACGTAGCCCTTATACCTACCACGTAGCCCTTACAGCTACCATGTATCCCCCTACACCTACCATGTACCCCATACCTACCATGTACCCCCCTATACCTACCATGTATCCCCCTACACCTACCATGTCCCCCATCCCTACCATGTACCCCATACCTACCATGTACCCCACACCTACCATGAACCCTACACCTACCATGTACCCCCCTATACCTACCCTGTACCCCCCTATACCTACCATGTACCCCCCTCTACCCACCATGTACCCCCCTATACCTACCATGTAGCCCTTATACCTGCCATGTAGCCCTTATACCTACCATGTTCCCCCCTATACCTACCATGTACCCCATTCCTACCATGTACCCCATACCTACCATGTAACCCATACCTACCATGTACCCCATACCTACCATGTACCCCATACCTACCATGAACCCTACACCTACCATGTACCCCCCTATACCTACCATGTACCCCCCTATACCTACCATGTACCCCATACCTACCATGAACCCTACCGATACCTACCATGCATGTAGCCCTTATACCTACCATGTACCCTACAGATACCTACCACGTAGCCCTTATACCTACCATGTACCCCCCTATACCTACCATGTAGCCCTTATACCTACCATGTAGCCCTTATACCTACCATGTACCCTACCTACACCTACCATGTACCCTACCTACACCTACCATGTACCCCCTATACCTACCATGTACCCCCTATACCTACCATGTACCCTACACCTACCATGTACCCCACTATACCTACCTTGTACCCCCTTTACATACCATTTATCCCCCCCATGCCTACCATGTACCATGCAGCAAACCTGAAATTATTGTTCATTCAAAATTCAAAACACTAATTTTCCCTATTGTTTCTCTTAGTCTTTAGTGAGGTCAAAACATTTAAAAGCTCTGAAAACATTTTGCCCTAAAATGCTGGACCCAAAATTTTACATCACTAAACAAACATTTGTTTGGCCTGGTCTAAACAGTACGGATTGAGAGGTTACACTAAACAAACATTTGTTTGGCCTGGTCTAAACAGTACCGAGTGAGCGGTAACACTAAACTAACATTTGTTTGGCCTGGTCTAAACAGTACGGAGCAAGAGGTAACACTAAACAAACATTTGTTTGGCCTGGTCTAAACAGTACGGAGTGAGAGGTTACACTTAACAAACATTTGTTTGGCCTGGTCTAAACAGTACCGAGTGAAAGGTAACACTAAACAAACATTTGTTTGGCCTGGTCTAAACAGTACCGAGTGAGAGGTAACACTAAACAAACATTTGTTTGGCCTGGTCTAAACAGTACGGAGTGAGAGGTAACACTAAACTAACATTTGTTTGGCCTGGTCTAAACAGTACCGAGTGAGAGGTTACAATAAACAAACATTTGTTTGGCCTGGTCTAAACAGTACGGAGTGAGAGGTAACACTAAACAAACATTTGTTTGGCCTGATCTAAACAGTACCGAGTGAGAGGTTACAATAAACAAACATTTGTTTGGCCTGGTCTAAACAGTACCGAGTGAGAGGTAAACAAGTGCTGGAAGATCTACAAAGGGCGGATATGATAGACATAATTCAAGTGTGGTCTACAACATACATTGCTCGTTTGACATTTCATATATAATTTGGCAGTCACGGTTATGCATATTCATGACCTTATCTGAGTAAAAGGTCGAGTCATTTGGTATGTAAAAGGAAGGTTCCAACATTGACTATTTCCCTGAAGAATCAAGTATGCTTATCCTGCTGTAATTAAAACCATTACGAACTTGATATCTGTGATAATACTGCTTAACAGATACTGTCCAGTCATCACTTTGGCCATTAAGTCTTACCAAAACAGTGTTTACAACAGTCAACTGTTTATCATTTTGTAATATTGTTTGTGGTTTTAAAGTAATGACAGCAAAACGAATAATGTAATTGAATATATAATTGTGCAACAACCTCACACACACACACTTACATACATAATACATCTTTTGTAAGTTGTTTAGTTAGAAAACTAAGATTATTATTTTTTTTTTAAATATTTCTGACTCTATTGACAATTACTTTTGAGTAAATGTTGTAACAGAATTCTGGTTAGACATTTTTAGCTGACCATGGCAAGTACTTACAGGATCTGGTTCGACATTTTAGCTAACCAGTACCTACAGGACTCTGGTTCGACATTTTTAGCTGACCAGTACTAGCTATTCAAGCATATTTCTGAAACTTGATAAAAATAAATTGAAAAAACCCAATAGGTTTCCTTATGTGAAGGAATAAACACATTTTTTAAACACAACCAGATTCTCTTGATCATGATAATAGAGTTAAATCACCTGTACACAAAAAGGACATAATGTTGAGGATAATGTGATATGTAACATTTCTGCACCATCAAGTTTGTTCCAGGTATTAAGAGCATATACAATTGCAAAATGATTCACACGGCTCTACATATCAATCAGGATACACTTAAAACAATATAAGGACCTCAGTCTCCGCAAGCACAATGTTAACTTTCTCATGCACATATATAAGTTCAAAAATACAATCACAGCATCATATGTGACCTGTGATGAGCAATACCTTATTTTGTATGTTAATGGGTTTGTTTCTTTGTGACAGGATATCTAGTCCAGTGGCATTGAAAGAGGAGCATACAATCCACTTCCTCTCTATCCCAAACAAGTGTATATCTTTGGCATTTATATGGATGAATGGTTACGTCACCACATGAAAACATGCACATTTTTTAGAGTAAAACACAACCTTTCAGGTAATCAACAGGCCCCGAGAGTCAATCAATACTGCAAACTGGAAAATTCGTAAAGATCCATCATTTCAGCGGTAGGGCGACATAATTACAGGGCAAGTCGACAAGTTGTAATCCTCCTCGCCACAGATCAATAGACCGGCACAACCCTAGCACTGCAAGCGCTGTACATGTGCATGACACATCTTGATAACACAATTTCATATCTGGAAAACGACCACATGTTACATGTACATAACACATCCGAATAATGACTGAATTCAAGTGTACATCCAAACATGGACTGCACATGTATACCGGGCATACATTACACAACAGTTTCCGACTGCTTTTTAGAACCACCACAAAGTCGCGCGTAAAAACCTTTCCAGGAACTTACAGTCTTGCCGGTCCAGATCCACACCCCTGAGGTGATACCCACAATGACAGTCATCAAATACTTGATCATGAACACATTAAAATCTGGGTTGTGGTTGATCGGCATATCTCCCAGACATGTGGTCCGTGACAACGAACACTTCCTGTAAAACCAGGACGCCATCCAGTCATCACGGAATGACTGTTCGTAGAAGTAGCATGCGATCACTATGGTCGCTGGAACGGTGTAAAGAACAGAAAATATTCCTATTCTCACCATTAATTTCTCCAGTTTATCGGTCTTTGTACCGTCACTTTTCATAATTGTTCTAATACGAAATAATGAAACAAATCCTGCAAGTAAAAATGAGGTCCCAATTATTAGGTATAACACTAGTGGGGCTAGCACGAATCCACGAAGCGCATCCACGTCAAATATACCAGTAAAACATACTCCACTGAGAACGTCCCCGTCAACCTGACCCATGGCCAGTATCGCGATAGTTTTGATAGCCGGAACAGCCCAAGCAGCAAGGTGGAAATACTGAGAGTTTGCTTCTATGGCCTCATGACCCCATTTCATTCCAGCAGCCAGAAACCATGTCAAGGTCAAAATTACCCACCAAATGGAGCTGGCCATGCTGAAGAAGAAGAGCATCATAAATAGAATAGTGCACCATTCCTTTTTCGTCCCTTGTGTTACCAGCGACTCTTCACGGTCAGGAAATTTGTGACATGCGACACTGTCTTTGTCGAGGGAGAAACCAATCACATAGGCCAGTGCCACCATAAAGTAACATCCTGACAAGAATATAATTGGACGCTCCGGGTAACGGAATCGGGTCATGTCAATGAGGAATGTCAAAACTGTAAACAGTGTAGATCCAAGACAAATACAGGACCATATACCTATCCAAAGACGTGCAGTTTCCAATTTTGCTGTTGTGAAAAACATATCGTGACATGGGGCACCACAGTCTCGAAACACATGATTCTTAATCTTTAGACGGTAGTCAAAACCCTGGTTCACCTTCAAATCTACTGGGCATTCAAAGTTGTGTCGTCGTGTTGTGTTGAATACCTGATCAGGGTAATAGCCATTGTTTGGGAATATGACTGTACCCCCTCCTCCTGGGATTCCGGTCCCTGGGTCGACGCCCCCGCCGGTACCTGTGCCGGGGGTGCTGTCAGGGTCTGTGTTGTTTTCTCCAACACACAGACCCCTGGGTGGGAATTTGCTGCACTCAAGTGTATCTGGCCACTGAAATCCGAATTTGTTCATAAGGCTCTCACACCCATTTCTGGCCTGGTTACAGAGAGACTGACAGGGCGGGATCGGCTCCTCCAGAACTGTACAAACGGGCACATACATAGTACACAGAAATAGTCGGAGCTGGGGACTACACTGGACTTTTACCAGGGGAAAAAACTGATGCACTTCCAGCCCGGCATCGTCCTGGTGTTGATGGGCCAGCAAATTTGGCATAATGGTTTCATTGTAAATAATATCTTTGCACAATGGGATAGCAATCGGTTCACATTTCGAATTGGTACGAGTCCCGGTACCAGAGAATCCTCCAGGCCCCTGGGCCTTACTCACGTTTAGAATGGCGCATTGGTGCAATAGAATTGTCAGCAACACTAAACATAACGATCCCCGCGCCATCTTAGATCCGTACACACATTTAGATCCCAAAGTTCATGTCCCGAAACCGTCGATCCTTATGTTAACATGACAACAGAGTTTATAAACAGCAGGTTATCGAAACAAGACACAGTCACACACAACAAACTTACGGCTTATCCCGACAGTCTGTGATCTCGCTGTTCAAGCAATGGCTGCCTTTGTGCCAAGACTATTCAAAAGAATTGAATATAATTACTACGTTTCGAGGCCTCTACAACGAATTCCTTTCATGAACTAGGCCTGCGCTGCGGCGATGGTGCTCGATGGGGATCTAGAAACCGTAGCCAATGATTAGCGGCTTTACATGTAGTACTCAGATACGATTGGCTGAGGTGTCAATGTTAATGACATTCGGCTGTTCCGTTGTTCTCCCCCGTTTAGAGGGCACGTTGAGTGATATTTGGATGTCATTAGGCCTGGTGTACCTGTAAATTAATTAGACGACCAAATTAACACATTGTGATTGATAACAATGTGTAATTACTGCTCAATCACTGTCACTTGGTCTGTCAGCTGGGATCAACAAAACAAACTATACATGAAAGTAGTCGCTGAGTATAAGGACTTCACATAATAATTCACAATAAATTAATTGCGAATACCTACAATAAAAATTGTATATAATTTTAATTAACAAGATATACGATTTTTTTTCCAGACAATTCTTGTATTTGTGCTATGATCTTTTGTATGTTTACAATATGCTTTTGTTCAAAATATTATAAAGATTTAGATAAATATATTATTTCATAATAATTCTGATAATGTATATAAGAAAAGTTCAATTAAATTCTCTGTTAAAATTAAAAAGTGTCATTTTATGAATGTAGTGCTATCATTTGGTGACATTCAAACTGATACATGTGTAGACGATCGGTAGGATCGATCCGAAATGACAACATCGTAGCTGACTATGTAAACAAGGCCCAAATTCGTGTTTGTAGTATACTTAGACAGGCCTACTGAGGCCCACAAAGGAATAACCCGTGGTAACTGACACCTCGTGTTTGTGTAAGTGATTTAAATTGTTTACGTCACCAATAGTTTGATAAAGAAATTTCGGTTATCGAATATATACATGGTGACGTAAACAATTTGAATCACTTGCAATTATAGTTATAAGTATAGTATGATAGCATAATATATATATACGTAGCATTTCTATAAATAGTTTGATAAAGAAATTTCGGTTATCGAATACCATCCCCGGACTAATTTATATGCTGTTATTATACAGTCTTAAAATAGACTGTGTCTGTCCATTGTATGTTTATCAACCAATGCAGTGTAAATTTAGCTGTTGGTCCTTTCATTTGGGGAAAGACTTTATAAAATATCAGAGATTGTATTCTGATCCCATAATGTATGTTGTTTATTCAGCGAAAACTTTTTCAATTAACCCCAACTGGCGGAACTTGATGACTATTTTCATGATCTTTTCTAATGTTTTACCCGAGAAACGTTTCTTACAGAACAAAGTATACACGGTAAGTCATGTGCTATGGCTGAGTGACCTGTGACTGAGGAGTACAGTGCCTTGGTTTGATACGTGAATACATTGAGTAATAACGGTATAGGCCATTAGACTGAATGAAGCTACTTACATTTCAACACTGCTATAACGGCAAAATGTGAATCATGACATGTCATCCCACCGGTAACAACGGAAACAATTAGATCCCTTCACCAGTAATGCACCCGTTTCGTATACCCTACCCCTTCACCAGTAATGCACCCGTTTCTTATACCCTACCCCTTCACCAGTAATGCACCCATTTCGTATACCCTACCCCTTCACCAGTAATGCACCCGTTTCGTATAGCCAATCCCTACACAAGTAATACACCCATTTCTTATACCCAATCCCTACACCAGTAACCATACACCAGTAAGACACCAATTTCATAACCCCTACCCCTTCACCAGTAATACACCCATTTCGTATAGCCAATCCCTACACCAGTAATACACCCATTTCTTATACCCAATTCCCACACAAGTAATACACCCATTTCTTATACCCAATCCCTACACCAGTAACCATACACCAGTAAGACATCAATTTCTTCTACCCTATACCTTCACCAGTAATACACCCATTTCGTATACCCAATCCCTACACCAGTAATACACCCATTTCTTATACCCAATCCCTACATCAGTAATACACCCATTTCGTATACCCAATCCCAACATCAGTAATACACCCATTTCATTTACCCAATCCCTACACCGGTAATACACCCATTTCTTATACCTAATCCCTACATCAGTAATACACCCATTTCATTTACCCAATCCCTACACCAGTAATACACCGATTTCGTATACCCAATCCCTACACAGTAATGCACCCCTTTCTTCTACCATACCCCTTTGCCAGTAATACACCCATTTCTTCTACCCTATCCCTCCAACAGTAATACAACCATTTCGTATCCACTGCCCTCACCATTGTTATGTAACAGAAACTCTCCTTACCAGTATAATATCCACTGCCCTCACCAGTGTAATGTAACAGCCACTCCCCTAACCAGTGTTATACCCTATCCCTTCACCAGTAATTCACCCATTTCGTATACCTTATCCATACACCAGTAATACAACCATTTCGTATACCCAATCCCTTCACCAGTAATTCACCCATTTCGTATACCCAATCCCTACACCAGTAATACACCCATTTCGTATACCCAATCCCTACACCATTAATACACTCCTTTCTTATACCTAATCCCTACACCATTAATACACCCATTTCGTATACCCAATCCCTACACCAGTAATACACCCATTTCGTATACCCAATCCCTACACCATTAATACACTCCTTTCTTATACCTAATCCCTACACCATTAATACACCCATTTCGTATCCCCAATCCCTACACCAGTAATACACCCATTTCTTATACCTAATCCCTACACCAGTAATACACCCATTTCGTATACCCAATCCCTACACCAGAAATACACCCATTTTGTATACCCAATCCCTACACCAGTAATACACCCATTTCTTATACCCAATCCATACACCAGTAATACACCCATTTTTTATACCTAATCCCTACACCAGTAATACAACTATTTCGTATACCCAATCCCTACACCAGTAATACACCCATTTCTTATACCCAATCCATACACCAGTAATACACCCATTTCGTTTACCCAATCCCTACACCAGTAATACACACATTTCTTATACCCAATCCCTACACCAGTAATACACCGATTTCGTATACCCAATCCCTACACCAGTAATACACCCATTTCTTATACCCAATCCCTACACCTGTAATACACCCATTTCGTATACCAAATCCCTACACCAGTAATACATCCACTCTCCTCACCAGTGTTATACTTACTCCCCTCACAAGTGCTACACCCACTCCCCTCACCAGTGCTACACCCACTCCCCTTACCATTGTTACACCCACTCTACTCACCAGTGTTACACCCACTCCCCTTACCATTGTTACACCCAACCTCCTCACCAGTGTTATACTAACTCTCCTCACCAGTGTTACACCAACTCCTCTCACCAGTGCTACACCCACTCCCCTCACCAGTGTTATACTCACCCTACTCACCAGTGCTACACCCACTCCCCTTACCATTGTTATACCCACTCCCCTCACCAGTGTTATACCCACCCTCCTCACCAGTGTTATACCCACTCCCCTCACCAGTGTTATACACAATCCTCTCACCAGTGTTATACCCACCCTACTCACCAATGTTACACCCACTCTACTCACCAGTGTGATACACAATCCTCTCACCAGTGTTATACCCACCCTACTCACCAGTGTTACACCCACTCCTCTCACCATTGTTACACCCACTCTACTCACCATTGTCACACCCACTCCCCTCACCAGTGCTACATCCACCCTACTCACTAGTGTTACACCCACTCTCCTCACCAGTGTTATACCCACCCTCCTCACCAGTGTTATACCCACTCCCCTCACCATTGTTACACCCACTCTACTCACCAGTGTGATACACAATCCTCTCACCAGTGTTATACCCACCCTCCTCACCAGTGCTATACCCACTCCCCTCACCAGTGTTATACCTACTCCCTTTCCCCAGTGTTATACCACCCTCATCAACAGTGTTATACCAGCTCCCCTCACCATTGTTATATCCACTCCCCTCACCAGTGCTACACCCACTCCCCTTAACAATGTTACACCCACTCCCCTCAACATTGTTACACCCACTCCCCTCACCAGTATTACACCCACTCCCCTCACCAGTGCTACACCCACCCTACTCACCTTTGTTACACCCACTCTCCTCACCAGTGTTATACCCACTCCCCTCACCAGTGCTACACCCACTCCCCTCACCATTGTTACACCCACTCTACTCACCAGTGTGATACACAATCCTTTCACCAGTGTTATACCCACCCTACTCACCAGTGTTATACCCACCCTCCTCACCAGTGCTATACCCAATCCCCTCACCAGTGTTATACCCACCCTCCTCACCAGTGTGATACACAATCCCCTCACCAGTGTTATACCCACTCTCCTCACCAATGTCATACCCACATTCCTCACCATTGTTACACACATTCCCCTCACCAGTGTGATACACAATCCCCTCACCAGTGTTATACCCACTCTCCTCACCAATGTCATACCCACTTTCCTAACCATTGTTACACACACTCCCCTCACCAGTGTTACACACACTTCCCTCACCAGTGTTATACCCACTCCCCTCACCATTGTTACACCCACTCTCCTCACCAGTGTTATACCCACTCTCCCCACCAGTGTTACACCCACTACTCTCAATTTTGTTACACCCAATCCCCTCACCGGTGTAACACCCACTCCCCTCACCAGTGTTATACTCACTTCCCTCAACAGTGTTATACCAACTCTCCTCACCAGTGTTATACCCACTCTCCTCACCAGTGTTATACAAACTCCCCTCACCAGTGTTATACCCACCCTCCTCACCAGTGTTATACTAACTATCCTCACCAGTGTCATACCCACTCCCCTCACCATTGTTACACCTACTCCCTTCAACAGTGTTATGTAACACCAACTCCCCTCACCAGTGTTACACCCACTCCCCTCACCAGTGCTATAACCACTTCCTCACCATTCTTACATCCACTCCCCTCACCATTGTTCAACCCACTCCCCTCAACAGTGTTTTACCCACTCCTCTCACAATTGTTACACCTACTCCCTTCAACAGTGTTATACTCACTTCCCTCACCTGTGTTATACCAACTCTCCTCACCAGTGTTA